TTTTTGAGCATACTTATTTCATTGTTCTTGCTGCTTATGAAAGGAGCTCTGGAAGTTCTCTTTTGTGTCTTTAACTGTGCTGTCATGGCTGCTTCAGTGTATGTATTGATCTTCAATGTACTGTATGTAAAATGTTTATCTTTCATGGTCAATTTGACTTTGGGGACAAGCCAGACATCTTACAGTGCTAAATCCAGTCAATAAGGTAGATAAGGACACACTATGTCTTTTTTTAAAAAAAATTTTATTTAAAAGGAAAAAGAGAAAAAACAAAACAAAACAAAGCAGTGTAAGGGTACAAGTAATACAGAACTACAAAAAAAAAAAAAAACCCAGCAAGAAATCACCGGTTAATAGATTACATATTATCATCTTAGAGATAGCTGCTCAAATCACAGTATCAAAGCATACAAAGTGGACACTCAAACAGTGAGACTGCAAACAGTTGTGTTCAATGATCCAACCAAAAACATTAATATGGTCAGCTATTTAACACCCCTAGACACTCTTGCTGTTGTATCATTTAGAACTCTTTTTTTTCCCCTCTCTTTTTTACAACAAAATTTACACATTTTGGGTTTTATTACTCCTTAGTTCTTATTACTTTTTTGGGGCGGGGAGAGAATAAAGTCAAATAGGGCAAAACAAAGCTGTCAGTCAAACCAAGGATAGACATAGCACATGATGTAAAACAGAGTACAAGGTTATCAACAATGGTTATCAACAATGTCTCTTGTTTCCTTAAAAAGAATTGTCTATCTCATTAGATATTATAAAGTTGAACAGAACAGTAGAGAACAAGACCAATAAAACTTAAGCATTGTAAACATTACAGGACTTCCAAAGGAGACAATAGTCAAACCAGAATGGGCATCTTAGTGAATCTTATTGCCTTCAAAATAGTTGCCTATACCCTCAAACTTGATACTATCATACAGAATGCAACAGAGTCTAATCAGTCAAAAAAGATAGTGGGAGTATTACAGGACTTCAAAACAAGTTAATAGGAAATCAAAAAAGTTACTATTATATACCCTGATAATTTAAAAAAATTTTCCCCTTAATTAAAAAAACATAAAAAAATAACTAAATAATTTTTTAATGAATAAGGCAGAGATTGACATAAAGGAGGACATAACAATATAACAATACAGGTCAAAGCATGACTGTTTCAGCAAGCTAGTGGTTCACCACCAAATAACCCGACTTAATAGTAGTTACCATAGTGTCTGTCTTTTTCCTTGAAATATTTGAATAAAACTTCATATACTATAGCTTCAAGTATTTCCATATCAAGAAGCCCAGAATAAAGCCTTTCCAATTAATAAGTGAAAACTTTATAAGGCTTCAAGGCCACATAATGGGGAATCACGATTACCACATATTTTTATATATTTGAATCATTACTTACATTAGGGAAACTATTCGGTATTCATACATGCGAGACTGATTTATTTTACTTATGAGTATGGTCTCAAGCTGCGCCCATTTATTGATAAATATCTCAATGTGATCCTTCTTTATAGCTGAATAATACTCCATTGTATAGAAATACCACAACTTTTTTATCCATTCCTCAGTTGATGGACACTTGGGTTGTTTCCAAGATCTGGCGATTACAAATTGTTCTGCTATAAACATAGGTGCACATATATCACTGTGGTATGATGCTTTCAGTTCTTCTGGGAATATGCCTAGAAGTGGAATAGCTGGAATAAATGGGATTTCCAATCCCAGCTTTTTGAGAAATCTCCAGACTGACCTCCACAAAGGCTGTACCAGTCTACACTCCCACCAACAGTGTAGGAGAGTTCCTTTTTCCCCACAGCCTCTCCAGCATTTGTTGTGACACACTATGTCTTTATGAGCCTGCTTTTCTTTTGGATGGCCAGCAGTAGCATTTACCATATTTTTTATTATACCTTGTGAAGACATTCATATAGTCACCTTATATTTTGAGTACACCCTGTCATACCAGGTATAATGGAATTTTATTCAAACATCGAAAAGGAAATTCTGTGACAAAATGGATGAGCCTGGAGGATATTATGCTAAGTGAAGAAAGTTAAATACAGAAAAACAAATACTTCAACATTCAAACTCAAAAGAGAACAGTGGTTGCCAGGGGCTGAGAGGTAGGGGAAATAGGGCAATGTTAATGAAAGAGTATAAGCTTTTTGGTTTTTGGTGCTGGGGAATTGAATACTGGACTCCATTCAACTATGCAGTTACATCTCCAGCTTTGGGATCAAACTGGGTTGTAATATGAACAAGTTCTGGGGATCTAATACACAGAATGGGTGGTGATTGATTTGTTAAACAAATTACACTACTGGAAAAATGCAGAGCTTTGCCTGAAGAAGTCAGTGAATACTTCATAACATTTCACTTTTCATTGTCTTGGAAATCGTACAGGTGTTTTTCTATCTGTAATTTGGTTATAAATATTTAGGGAAAGTGGAGTATAAAATGCATGGGGAACTAATTTGACATATTGTTACATTCTTGATACTATCAGCATTCAAGTCCCTGGAGAGGAAGAGCGTTTCTTTCATCTTGGTTACTTAGTAATACAGGTTAGTCTTGTCATTGAACCCAGTACCATCTTTATTTTATAAAGTTCACCCATGGAGTTGAGTATGGTATGGATGTATCACACACCTATGGTATTTCAGGCCTTATAGTAGTTATCAAGAAATATATATATATATATATATATATATATATATATATATATATGACGATTACCACAGTTGGGTAACTCCCAGCACTCGGGAGGCTGACGCGAAGGATCACAATGAATTTGAGGCCAGCCTAAACTATAGTGAGACTGTATCTGAAAAAAAAAAGTGACTTCTGAACACAGATTTGAATGACAAGTAGAAGTTGACTTGAAAAGAGTAAACATTATAATAGAGAGAACATCAGTTCAATGCGCAACATTATGATAGTCAGAAATCGTTTCCTATGAAGGGTGCAGCAAATAATTGTAGAAGAGTTTGGGACGTGGCTGGGATCAGGTCTCAGATGGCATTTGTGTCAGGAAATGTCTTAATTTCATCAAGTGAAGTAATCGTTAGTCACTGAAATTCTGAGTCGAGAGACCAGACACAGGAGGTTACAATCTATTAGTGGCTTGTATAATCAATGTAAATTGCAACCAGCATTTTAAGAGTAGAAAGTATTACTGTGCATACTGGTAAACAAGGTTTTGTGAAACACATATAATTGCTTCAATTACATATATGCAAATATTGCGATGTAAATTTTTTGGTCTGAGTCATAGTAAAAAAATTTTTTTGAGAAACACTAAAGGTTCGGTGGTACACCACTTGATGTATCAGGTTACTTTGGTAGCAATTAACAGAAACCACAGGCTCAAATGGCAAAATACACTAAGGAGTTTATTATTTCAATATAAGTGAAGTTCCTAAGTTTGGGAGTTCTTTGTACTTTTAACTTTTGCCATTTTTGTGTACCATTTTTAGCCTAGTGCCAATTCCTCAGTGACACTCAGAATAATATGCCAACATACTTTTATCCAGCAGAACAAAATATGGATCCTAAACCCATCAATAGCAAGGGAGTGGAAATAGTGATTACTTTCATTTAACGTGGGATGGATATTTGGAATCAATCCACTGTAGGAACTGTAATAGAATGTGCTAATTTCAGTGTATCATAGAAATACTTTAGAGGTACCTAGTTTGATAAAGTAATGAATCTGGTGGCGGCAAATCCATGGCATGAGTGCTGCAGTGGGCTGTTATCACTGAAAAGTTCTAAAATGTTTGTCATCACTGAACTTAGGTGTAGGGATGATCAGATGAGCCATCCAAATTTTGGCTAAAAGGAAATGTTATGGCAGTCCAGCCACAATGTACCTATTCTCAAGACTTACAAAAAAAAAAAAAAAAAGACTTACAAACGTGGTTTTAACTTTAAGGAAAGTGCCTTCTTTAGCTATCAGGGATGACTCCCAGATACTCAGCTGGGATGAATGTTCATACTAAGACAGGAGAATAGTGGACTTTGGGGGAGGAATATTTAGTGCAAATGTATCTGAGTGTTTATGGTGCTCAGATTTTAATGTAAAGCTCTTTCATAGTGAAAGGAAGAGTAAGCCTTACAGGGTATGGATGATTCCCAGACTAAGGCTGTTGTAGCAAAATAGTACAATAGCTCTGCCATTGAAACTTATGTCTGTTAGACCAGAGACCCTTTTACCCGCACTCTTACTAAGTGAGTCTTAGATAAAAATCTCTTCTTTCTACTCTACTGGGAATATGCTAACCAACAGGCCAGATTTAGTGTTCAGATCAAGGGATAGCTTCAGGTCTTCTCTAGATTACTGCAGTCAAACCTTGAGCCTAAAAGAGTGGTAGCCTGGCTAAGCCTGGCTTCATTCATTATAATTAGTGGATAAAAAAAAAAGAGTTGCCGTTGTCTTACATGCCCGGCCATTCTGAAACCGGATTTCCCTTTTTTAAGTTCCCACGGAGGTCCAATTTTTGACAACAATAAAAACTTCCAGGAAATCCCCAGGAAGCTGAACTTTCTAATGTTCCACTCAGTACAACCCTCTCCATACTAAGAGGAAGGAGCTTATCCTGAAGGCCAACATCCTCTCAGATGTCTCTACTTTTTCAGTCATAGTGGTAGTATATATAAGTTCTTAGTCCTCCTCAAAAACCCATTCAGAGGTTGAGAACACATGAAAGTAATACAGGTTGGAAACACAGGAATGGTTATAGTGTCCTCTGAAGTGCCTTGGATATTGGATAACTTAAATAAGATTTACTGACAAGTGTTCATTCCCCCACCCAGTAAGAAATAATCTTTTTCTAGGAAATCCTATGGGCTCAATCCTAGGAGCTGGATATGAAAAAATGCAATCACATCAGAGGGTAAGTTAGGGATACAGGACACATGTCCCATCTAAATTGGTACTAAGAAAAACACAACTTCATTAACCAAACACAACTCAGAACTAAGAAACATAAACATAAATCATGGATTTACTATCCTCAGGTAGTCTCAGGATTTAATGGTTCTTATTTTCCCAGAAACCCTAAGGGAATTAAAAAAAATCATTTTACATATATTCATGGTAAGGAATTTTATCTTTTGGGCAAAGAGAGATCCATCTCAGTCCCCAGAAGTTTCCGGGTTCCATTAAGACTGTCCATTTTACAACTTTGGCTCCAGTTCTTCTCAGACATGAAAAGAACTCCAAACGCCAGTCATCATAGCCACCGAGGAGCGGCAAATTCCAGTTCTGGTTAAATCCTTGGTGTCTGATCTGTATAGGAGCTGTGGACACTTGTTTCTTGGTTCTTTTGAAGGTCCTGCTGAAGTCCGTGCAGCAGCTGGTTTAGAAGTGTAAGGTTGCTGTCTCTTTGAGGTACAGGGAGGGGCGGGAGGCAATTCCCTTTATATTCGATCACTGCCATCTTTGCCCGATCCTCCTTGTTTCGATTTGGGATCTGCACCATCCTTGTGTAGCCCCCATTCTGACCTTGGAACCGAGGGGCCAGTACTTTAAACAGCTTTGGGATCAAGTCTTTCTCCTATAGGACAAGAATTATTTAGCAGACAGCAAAGTTAGGAACAACTGCAGAAACATTTAACTTTTACCACTTAAGGGTAGGGTTCAAACCCACATTGATAGGCCTCCCCCATGCTCTAGTACAGTATAAAGTTAGACGGGTCAATTATAGGCAGATGTGCAGATTCATATGCACATCGACTTCAATTATAAAACATGATTCTTAGTTAATTCACAACACTAGTCCACAAGTGTTAGCTTAAATCTCACAGGGAGCAGAGGATTCTCTTTGGGAAGTGGGCTATGAGCACTCACTGTAAGCCAGAAGTCAGCCATACGCATGGCTCGTTCGTTGGTGTCTCCCATTTTTCCATAATCAATGAGCTGTGTGGACAAAACAAAACGAACTGATCCAACCAGAGCAAAAGTAGTTAAATCTTATTTTCCTACAGCCGGGCCTCAATCACTTCATTGCATTAGCAAAACACTGCACTCAGGCCTCAGCTCGGGCACAGCCGGTGTCACCCAGTTCCAGAACGCAGCCCATCCCGCCCCCAACAAGGCCTGGCAGCTCCTCACCTTCTCGGCGTAGCCCCGCATTTCGTCCACACGCGCCCATGTCGCCTCGATGCGCTCGTGTCGCACCAGCCCGGTGAGTAAGTTTCGCAACAGGTGGATGCGGGACTCGGGACCGAGGCCCAGTCGGCGGAACACGCGACCGTGGGAGATGGCGCATACCGCAGACAGCCTCATGTTCCCAGCGTCCTCAGGACCCCGGGAGCCGGAAGTGGGAACTCTAGGGGAGGACCAGGCGGCGGCGATTTCGCGAGACGCGTGCGCCGTAGATCGGCGCGTGGTGGACGTGTTTGCGCATGAGTATGTGAGTCCGCCTTGTTGGCAGTCTGAGGAGGGCGGAGAAGGGGTGTTGACCTTTTCCAGAGGCGGCGAGCTGGGAGGTCTTTCAGTACCGCGAGGGCTCCTCTACGGCCAGGGAACTTGGCGCCCTCTAGCGTACACCAGAGGGCCAGCAGGTTTCTTCTGTGCTGCGTCGGCGGGTCTGTCGTAGTCAGTGGTGTGGCGCGCGCACCGCGGAGCCTGCCGGGAAAGTGAGTCTGCGGGCAGAGTGGCGCCTGAGGGGCGCAGAGGCGTGTGGGGCCCCAGGAGCTAGAAGTTCTGGCAAGTTTTTAGTGGTATTAGTGAAGTGAATAATAATGCTCAGGACAGAAACGCAGGTAATAAATATTATTTTGTTTTGTTTTAGAGACAGACTTTTGCTTTGTAGTTGAGGCTGACCTTGAAGTCACTGTCGCGCAGCCTGGCCTCGAAGTTGTGCCGTTCCTTTTGCCTCAGCCTCCCCAGTGCTGGGATTACAGGAGTGCGCCTCCACACTCAAATCAACATTTTGTTTTACTGACGAAAGTAAAAGTTACAACATTAATATAAAAAATGGTCAGTAGTTTTAATTTATAATATTTTTTTTGAGATAGCATTTCCCTATGTTACCCACGTTGGTATGGAACCTCACAGGGGATCCTTCTGCTTTCGTCTACAGAGTGCTGGGCACAGGATGCCATCCCTGGCAAGTTATATAAATGTTTTTCTTGAGAAACGGGAAAACATACCCGTTTATTTATTTATTTAGTACTGGAGATCAAATTTACGACCTTTGCACTTACCAGGAAAGCCCTTGAGCCACTGGGCTAAATCCCCAGCCCAATACCTGTATACACGCTAAGTAGTGATTTAGTATTGTTGTTTTAGAACCTTAACACCTGTACATTTGCAGTTATGCTCATAATTGCTTCTTGTTACAGGATGAATTGTGTGCTTCTTCCCCGAAGGTATGTTAAGTTCCAGCCTGCTGTGACTAAATAATGTGATCTTGGAAAACAAGCAAGAGACCTTGTAGAAAAGTTAATCAAGATGAGTTTATATTGAAACAGGGTAGGTATCTAATTCAAAATGATTAATAACCTTATAAAAAGATGGCAAGTAAAGAGACAAAAATGAACACACAATGAAGATAATCAGGTAAGACAATCATAGAAGGAGAATACTTTGTGACCATGAAAACAGACTTGCTGTTAAGCTGTTGAAAGTCCCAGAAGGAACCTCAAAGATTACTGGACACACTTTAAGCTGAAGTTGTTCCCTGGATCCTTTAAGAACTATAGTCTTGTTTCTATGTTGAATTTTTTTCCCGGGACAGTGTTTCATTTTGTACTCAGTTCAGACTGTCCTTGAACTCATTATGTCTTTGAATTTGAGGTGAACCTCTCATTCAGCCTCCCTAGTGTTGGGATTATAGGTTTGCACCAACGCAGCTGGCTTCCATGTTGATTTCTTCTCTCTTCCAGAGTGATATGACAGTGGTTCCTGTTGTTTTAAGTCTCATGTTTTGTGCTACTTTGTCATGGTAGCCCTACAGTTACATGTCTACATGCAGTAAATTGTCTGTCTTTACTTACAAGTGACCAAAGAATAAAAAAGTTTCTTTCACATGAAACAAGTTATACAATTAGGAAAAATTACATTTTGTATATTGAAAGAGTTTTGGCCCAGACAGGACACTGTAGCCAGGAAAGCCTCAACCAGAAGCAGGAAGCCTCTATCTCCCCCACCCCTAGGAATTTACCTGTGATGCCATCTTCTCGCCCCTGGAAATTTACCTATGGTGCCATACCTAGGACCAATGGGCTACTTGTGCATCTCTAATGCCCTCCTTAGGTTCCACCCCAAACCCAGGCTACTTACATACTCCCACGCGGGGAGATCACCAGACGGCAGTGGTGGTGGGGTGCTGGTTATATCTCTCCGTGTTCTCAGAATAAAGGCTGCTTTTTGTTTTATACTTCTCATCTTTTGGAAATATTTTTCATCTTTTGGAAATAATCCTACCATTTGGTGCCGTGACTTGGATGCCACCCCAGGGTTGGCGATCTCTCCCCGCATTCTCAAAATAAAGGTCATTTATATTTCATACTTCTTTTCAGCCGCCGCCACCAGTCCTCCCTCACAGTTCTATCATATATGTTGGTGGAAATTTCTACAAATCACAAAAACAATAAATTTCACAGTATATGAGTCTGCTCCTACCTTCTTTCTTTGGGACTAAGTTTTGCAGCTTTCAATGATCTCTGTACCTGGACTGTGAAAAGGAAATTTAAAGGTTAACTTTTTTTTTTTTAAAGAGATATTGGCTTCTCCAAACTTTCTCAGTCCTAGAATATAAATGGCTACTCCTACTTCTCAGCTCAGGTAAGTATGCAGATGCTGGCACCAGGATGTCAAGTCCAATTTCATTACCATAGGCTGGAAGGGAGAGTTTTAGGTTTGGGAAGGAACAGTTCAGCCAGAATGTGTATATTGCTACATTATATTCCACTCCCTACTGCTCCTTGTAGTAAGAGACCCCAGCACACACTTTACAGGTGAGATGGTGATGTGAGGCAAATGGCCTCCTCCATCTCCTCAGAGCTAGCTTTGAATTAATCCCTTTTTCTTTTTACCAAAATAAGTGGCTTCCTTTTGAAATAGGAGAAAGAAACCCTCAATTTACTAGATGTTCAGTATGATTTCGTGTTCTCTAAAATTGAAGAATAAATTTTAGGAACAATAGAGGTTAAGAGCAGATTATATTTAGCAAGAAAAAAAAACTGTCTGAAAGACAGAAGGGATCTGCAGTGGGTTGCTGAGAATCCTGCCTTTTTTTTTTTTTTGTCTTTTTCATTTTTATCAGTACTGGGGATCGAACTCATGACTGCCTGCTTGCAAGGCAGGCACTTATGCCGCTGAGCTAAATTCCCAGCCCCGGATCCTGCCTTTTCCAGAGATTTTTTATATAGCAAAACCACGAGATGAGTTAGGTCCACAGTGGGGAAAAATGGGAACTCATAAGGCAGATGGATATGAGGTTATATAGAACTGTGGTCAACCAATAAGATTACAAGTATAATTGCTCAAGTAAAATTGATTAAATCGAGATCCAGTGGGAAAGTGAGTCATATAGCAGGGGGACATGAATACAAAATAAGGCCTTTTCCTGTAGGGGGGTTGGTTTAGTGGCCACTTCTGGCTTCCTCAAAGTGGTGATACCTATTTAGAATATCAATCCCTGATGTTTATACTTGGGGTGTGGTTGGATTTGTTTTGTCTTTTGTCAGAAGAGTCTGTCTGTCTCCAAGATTGCAAAATATGTGGTTTTCTGCACTAGCTCCTCTGAGGGCCCAGTCTGTCTAACTGCGTAAAATATTTCTAATTAACTCAGTTGCCTGTAATGCTTTGATCTGGAAGCAGCAAACAAATGAACCTGAACACATGAACCTTAGTGGTCACAACTGAAAATTTTTACTAAGATTTTTTTTTTAAACCAAGAAAACAATTCATAAATTTCTGCTGGTAAAAATTTGTGAAGGGATTTAGCTCAGTGTTTGCCTGGCAAGTGCAAGGTTATGAGTTCAATCCCCAGTACAAAAAGAAAAAAAAAATTGTGAAAGAAAATGTTGAGAAAAATGAATCAAATTTTGAAGACTTTCAGAAGAGATAAGAGGTAATGATCTTACACCTCCAGAAAAATTCAAAAGGATAATATATGATAATTCAGTTGTTTCCACCAAGAAGGAACAGTTTTTGGTTTTGTAGTTTCTGGCTTTCTCCACAATTTCTGTGGGCCGACCCTCAAAGAAAAATTTTAAACCTTGATGTTTTCTTGTGTATCATTTGGCTTTAATCTGGCTGTTTTCAGATATTATGTCTGATTATTATTACTGTTTTTTAAAAACTGCATTAGGTATTTTTTTAAATAAAAAAAGAACAAAAAAGAAACATAATCTTTCCCTTTCTTTCTTTTCTCCTTTCTCTCATCCCATTCTTCTGAGCAGTTTCTTCCCTTTTCACTTTCAAAATAACTATTGTACATTTTGGATGGTGTTTACGCTTTCAGCTTTTTACACTAGGGAGACAATATGATGTTTACAAATGTGAGACTGATTTATTTCATTTATGAATATGGTCTCAAGTTGCATTCATTTACCTATAAAAGCCTTGAGTTTATTTTTCTTTGTAGCTAAGTAGTACTCCATTGTATAAAAATACATCTTTTTTATACATTCTGTAGTTGATGGGCATTTGGGTTATTTCTAATGTCTAGCTATTACAAATTGTGCTATTGTAAACGTGGATGCACATGTATTGCTTGGTATGATGTTTTCAATTTTTCTAGGAAAATTCCCAGATGGAGTACAACTGGATCGAATGGGACCTTCAAACCTTGTTTTCTGAGGAATTTCCACAGTGATTGTACCAGTCTACACTCCCACCAATAGTGGAGAAGAGTTCTTTTTCTACCCATCGCCCCACCAGCATGTTATTAGTTGATTTTTTTTCATGGCAGCCATTCTTTTTGGAGTAAGATGGAATCTCAGTGTTGTTTTAATTTGCATTTCTTGAATGACTAGTGATATTGAACATTTTTTCATATATTTATTCACCATTTGTACTTCATCTAAGAAGTACATATTCATCTCAGATGCCACTTTTTGGATAGAGTCTTTGAATTTAGAGGTCTTAATTTTTTTATTTCTTTATGTATTGTAGATAGAAGTCTTTTGTCTGAGGGACAGTTGACTAAATTGTTTTTACCATTGTGTGGGTTTTCTTTTCACTCTGGTGGTGATTTCTTTTGATATGCAAAAACTTTTTAATAAGGTGAGATTGCAGTTGTTGATTCTTTGAGGTACTTCTGGTGTAGTTTGGATTTTGTTCATGAACTGTCTGCCTACCCCAAGGTCTTCAAGATTTTCACCTACCTTGTCTTCTAGTAGATACAGGATTTCTGTTTTAATATTTAGATATTTGATCCATTTTGACTTTAGTGGATGGTGATAGACATGGGTCTAGTTTCAGTCTTCAGCATGTGGAAAGCCAGTTTTTCCAGAACCATTTATTAAAGAGATTACCTTTCTTACAGTGACCATGGTTGGCCCCTTTGTCAAAGGTAAGGTGGCTGAGCATATTTGTAGTTGTACCTGCATCTTCTATTCTGTTCCACTGATCTTGAGGTCTGTTTTTTTGCCAGTACCATGCTGACTTTATCACAATAGCTTTGTAGTATAGTTTCAAATCAGGGATTGTGGTATCTCCTGCCTTGTCATTGTTGCCCAAAATTGCCTTAGCTATTCTAGGTCTCTTCTGTTTCCAAATGAATTTTAGGAATGTTTTTTCTAAATCTGTGAGATATGCTAGTGGTATTTTGATCAGGATTGCATTAAATCTATATCACAGTTTGTGAGTATGACCATTTTCACAATGTTGGTTCTTCCTAACCATAAGCAAGGAATATCTTTCCGTTTTTCTGATATCCTTTTCAATTTCCTTTTCAGAATAGTGTTGTTTTCAATATATAGATGTTTTACATCCTTTGTTAGATTGATTCCTAAATATTTCATTTTTGGAGATGCTATTGTGAAAGGTGTTATTTACATTATTAGTGAGTTTGTTGTTTGTGTATAGGAAGGCTATTGATTTTTGTGTGCTGACATTGTATCCAACTATGCTGCAGAATTTGCTTATTAACTCTAGAAGTCTTTTGATGGAGCTTTTAGGATCTTCTATGTAGGGTACCACGTCATCTGCAAATAATGACAATTTAACTTCTTCCTTTCCTATCCTTATTCCTTTTATTTTTCTTTCTTGTTTAAAGGCTTTGCCTAGCATTTCCAGAACTATATTGAATGGAAGAGGTGATAGTGGACATCCCTGTCTTATTCCTGATTTTAGAGTGAAAGCTTTCCATTTTTGTTCAGTTAGTATGATGTTGGCTGTTGGTTTGTCGTAGATGGCTTTTAGCGGATTGAAGTAGAGACCATCTGTTTTGATTTTCTGTAGAGTTTTTTTTTTTTTTTTTATTATGAACGAGTGTTGAGCTTTCTCAAAAACTTTTTCTGCGTTTATTGAGATGATAATGTGAGTTTTGTCTTTGGCTCTGTTAATATGGTGTATTATGCTTATTGATTTGCATCTGTTGAATTATCCCTGCATTCCAGGGATGAATCCCATTTGGTCATGGTGTATAATCCTCTTGATGATTTGCTGTAGTCTGTTTGCTTATATTTATTGCAGGTTTTTTGCATTTATGTTCAGTAGGGAGATTGGCCTATAGTTCTCTCTTTTGGTTGTGTCTTTCTCTGTTTTTGGTATCAGTAATACTTGCCTCCAGGAATGAGATAGGGAGAATTGCTTCCCTTTCAATTTCATTAAAGAGTTTGAGGAATATTGGCATTAAATCTTCTCTAAATTTCTTGTAGAATTCAGCAGAAAATCCATCAGGACGTGGGCTTTTCTTTGTTGGTTAGTTTTTAATTACATTTTCAATTTCATTATATGATATAGATTACTCATAATTTTTATTTCTTCTTAATTCAGCTTTGTTAATTCATATGTTTCTAAGAATCTGTCCAATCGTTGCTTTTCAGCCCAAGCAAGTAAAGATTTTCAAAGTAAGTACTGATGATTTTCTGAATTTCCAAAGAATCTGTAGTGATTTCATACTTTTTATTCCTTATTGCATGAATCTTGAGTTTTACTTTCCTTTTTTTGTTAAGGTTGGCTAGGGGCTTATCAATTTTATTTATTCTTTCAAAGAACAAACTCTTCAATTCATTGATTCTTTGTATTGTTTTCTTAGTTTTGATTACGTTAATTTCTGCTCTGATCTTTATAATTTCCTACTTTCTATGAGCTTTGAGCTTGACTTGTGCTTTTTTTTCTGGAAGCTTGAGATATAGCATTAGGTTGCTTATTTGTGCGCATTCTGTTTTCCAGATGTGAGAATTCACTGCTATGTATTTCTGTCTTAGGACTGCTTTATTGTGTCCTCCCGGTTCTGTTATGTTGTATCTGCGTTTTCATTTGATTACAAATATTGTTTCATTTCTTCTTCTTTCTTTTTCTTTTTTTTTTGTCTTTTTCCTTTTTATCGGTACCGGGGATTGAACTCACGATTGCCTGCTTACAAGGCAGGCGCTTATGCCACTGAGCTAAATCCTCAGCCCCTCATTTCTTCTTTAATTTCATTTGTGACCTCCTGGTTGTTCAGGAAGATGTTATTTAATTTCTAGTGTTTATAGAGTTTTTTGTGGTTTCTTTTGCCACTGATTTCCAATTTCAGTGTACTATGGTCTGATAATATACATCCAATAATTTGAGTTCCTCTGCATTTACTTAAGCATGTTCTGTGGGCTAGTATACAGTGTATTTTAGAGAATGTCCTGTGTGCAGCTGAGAAGAATGTGTATTCTGATGTTACTGGGTGGGGGGACACTTTGTAAACATCTATTAAGTCCATTTATTCATGTATTTGATTCCATTCTATTATTTCTTTGCTGATTTTTTTGTCTAGTTAAACTCTTTGTCACAATGGGATATTAAGGTCCACTATTAGAACTGTGTTATTGTTTATTTGATTTTTCATGTCTATTAATATTGGTCTAATATATATGGATGTTCTCATCATATTTGGTGCTTATATTTTTATGATTCTTATCTCTTCCTTTTGACGTTTTACCCTAACAAGTATATAGTGACCTTCTTTATCTCTTTTGATCATTTTTGGTTTGAAGTTCATATTGTCTGCAAATAGAATAGCTACCCATCCTTTCTTATGGGTTACTATTACATGGAGTGTTGTTTTCCATCTTCTGATTTTCAGCCTACGAGTTTCTTATTGAATTAAATGTGTTTCTTTAATACAGTATATTGTTAGATGTTGTTTTTTAATCCATTCTGCCAACCTATTTCTTTTTATTGGTGAATTGAGGCCATTTACGTTGGTTATAACTGACATGTATTGGCTTATCTTTGTCATGTTATTCTCTTGTTGGTTCTCTGCTTTTCCTCTTTGTCTAATTGCTTACCTTTCTGGGTAGTTTCTTTCTGTTGTTGTTCTTGGAATTGTGGTCATTTTTTTGTCTCTATCTGGGATATATTTCAGTATTCTTTCTAGGGTTGCTTTGGTACACATGCATATTTCTTCATTTGTTCTTTGTTATGGAAGTATTTATTTTTCATTCATTTTAAAAGATAGTTTTGTAGGGTATGTCAATCTGAATTGGAAGTTGTCTTCTTTCAGGGCTTAAAATACTTTACTCCAAGAACTTTTTTTTTAATTGATACCAGGGATTGAACTCAAGACTACATGCTTGCATGGCAGGCACTTATGTTGCTGAGCTAAATCCCCAGCCCTCCAAGAACTTCTTGACTTGAGAGTTTGTGTTGAGAAATTGGCCATGATTCTAATGGGCTTTCCTTGAGAGATGATCTGTTTCTTATCTGTAACAGTTTTTAATATTCTGTTTTTATATTGAATTTCTGGGATCTTAATTATTATACGTCAGGGTATAGATTTATTGTAGTTATGGCTGTTTGGAGTTTTTTACGCCTCACTTATCTATTTGTCAGATTCTTTTCCCATGCTGAGGAAATTTTTTGCTATTACTTCTGCAAATAGTTTTTGTATGTCGTTTGTGTTGATTCTTGCTTTTTTATTGACATCAAACATTCATATATTGTTTTTCTTTGCATTGTCTTTGAGCTATTGAATTATTATTTCATGGTCCCTTGTGATTTTTAAGAGATCTTTTCTTTCATAATTGCTAGCTGCAGTTGTATTTCCAAGATCTGAAAATCTGTCTTCAGTTTCGTTCAATGGTTTTGCCAGCATTCGATGGAATTTTTAATTTCGTAGATATCTCTTTGAGTCTGTTGTTACATGCTTTCTATTTTTTCCCCCATATTGTTCATTCAAGGTTTCTATCATTTTCCTATGTGCCTGTACTTTTTATATCTATATCTTCTTTAGCTATACTAAATAATTCCTTCATTAAAGTTGTAATTTCTTTTTTTATCTGAGATATTATTTCTGATCTAATTTCCTCCATAGCCTTGTGGATTTGTTTTTTTCCTTCACTTGCTGTCTTTTCAGAAATTTCAGGTGTGTGTTTGTAAGTCTTCTATTTGAGGTCTTCTGTCCTTGTTCAAGATGAGCTGGAGATCTGAGATTGCATTTTGCTTTTTTGTCTCATCAATTTCACATCTTGGTTCATACCTTAGTCTTTTCAATCTCAGTAGTCTCACCTGTCTGTCATATGTATCTTAGTGTCTTGCAGTATGACTGGCCTTCATCCAGTTGCCAGGTTCCACAATGTAGGAGGAGGACCAGTCACCTGAATTCCTCCTGCAGGGCCAGGTGAGTGAGTCCTATATTTTTCCTGGGCTGACCAGCCTAGAAATACTGTTGTGAACCAATTCTTAAACTGTATTGTTATTGCTGTTTCTGACTTTTCCAGGTCATCAGACCTATCTTTGTGTGGTATACCCATCTGAGGCTATACTGTGTCACTGGGTCTCACAGGCCTACCCAGGTTCCTCTGGGTATTGTAGAGGGCAGCCTCACCTACACTCTTACTGTCCTTCCCAGGTCCTCTGGATGGATGGAGTGCTCACTCATGCTCTATCCAGTCCACTAAGGTTCTCCAGATGGGGGAGGTGGTAATCTAGGCTCCTGGTTGCCTGCCAAGGTCTTCTGGATTGGGGGAACGCATTATTATTATTTTTGAGACAATGTCTTGCTCTTTAGTTGCCTGTAAGGCTTGATTTGGATGTAACTCTCCCAAAACCCAACCTGTCTGCAGCAGAGGCATTATTCTCAGCTCAACACTGATGCCCTAAGTAAACACAGGATATCTTAAAAGAGATAGATGGAACACCCGAATCTTGCAAGCACCTGGACATCTAAAGATACCAAAGTATTTACACTGGATAACTCAAGGACTTTGCCCACTGAGGCACAGAGCATTTGGAGACCTTTGATCACTGAGGTTTACTTTGATCTTCCTGCCTAATGTCCTTTGACTTCTTTGATGCCCTATAAAAAAATCCCTACTTCTCTTTGTTCCATAAAGATCGCCTTTTCGCTCTCTGCCTGCCTGTACCCCATTATAGTAAATTCCATGCTGTATTGCTTTTCCACAAGCCCAGAAGTCTTGGCTGGTCTCTGCTTTGCACCATTCCTCAAACAGCCTGAATTTAAACTCACTGTGTAGCCCAGGCTGGCTTTAAGCTCATGGTAATCCTCCTGCCTCAGCCTCCTAAGTGCTGTAATTATAGGCATGTACCACCATGCCTGACCTGTGTTTTATTATTAAACAAACAAAAAACAAGAATAACAAAAATAATTCAGGAAAGAAATAATTCAGGAAAGAAATCTAAGTTTATATGTCTTTTGGCTTATAAGGGATATATTGTACCCTAAGGGTTTGAGTCATGAAATATACATGAAGTAAGTTTAAAAGATGACCAACTCTTTTTTTTTTTTTCTTTTTCCTTTTTATCGGTACCAGGGATCGAACTCACAACTGCCTGCTTGCAAGGCAGGCACTTATGCCACTGAGCTAAATCCCCAGCCCTGAAAGATGACCAACTCTTGCTGGGTGTGGTTGCTCATGCCTGTAAGCCCAGTACTCGGGAGGCTGAGATGGGAGGATTGTTGCAAGTTCGAGACCAGCCTGGGCTACAAAATGAGCTCAAGGCCAGTCTGAACTGCATAGTGAGACCCCATCTCAAAAAAGACCAAAAAAAAAAAAAAAAAGAGAGAGAGAAAGATGACCAATTCTTATGAATTTAATGTTAAAAATAACATGTATGATAGAGTTTGTATAAATGATAGCTTTTCAAAATAATAGCTATATAGAATGAAGTATCATTAGTAGATAATTTCAAGCCTGTATATATATTATAATTCAGTAGTCATAGCAGTAATTTAGACCTACAAAAGACTTTTCTGCTAAGGTTGTCTAGAAGTGTTGTTGCACATATGATAATAAAAATAAATTGGCTTTTAGTTTTGTTACTACTTTAAAATTCTTTTTTTCTCTACTACTTTAAAATTCTTCATGGATAATTTGTCTGCATATTTTTGTACCCATGAAAGACTGTTCGTACCTGTCAACCCTTGTTATCCACTGGCTAATAAGTATGAACTGAATCCCCAAGGGTTTGAGTGGATCTGAGTGTTCCTTGGTGATCCAGGACTTGGAGTAACTCATGAGAGTCCAGATTGAACCCTTACTGAAGTGTTGGTAGAGACCAGTCAGTCTAAGAAGAGCGTAGAAAGTGATTTCAAGCAGAATTTTGCAGGGAGCTGAAGAAGAAGAATCCCAACCTTTAGATTTTGTTCTGCCCGTGGCTTCTATTGGGAGAAAGAGATTGGATCTGCCCGCACCACTGCACAGAATCTTAAATGCCTGCATTCTGTCCTATGGAAACCTGCATGATGCAGTGTTACTTTGATGGCAGTCCTGTGAGACTTCTTTCTAGGTCTTTGGTGTCTTGAACAAAGAATTGGAGAAGACACACAGGAGAGATAGTGAAGGTATACATTTATTGAAGGTGGAAGTACACGCTACAAGGTGAGAGCAGGTGTGTGCTGGTGAAAAGGCTTGCAGAAGCTCTGAGGTTAAAGTAAAAGGGATCTTCAGTATTCAAAACACCTGACTTGAATACCGTATCATGCAAATAAGGCAACTGTCTTGACAAAAACTCACTTGGCCTCATACAAGATTTAAACCATCCTACCAAAAACCTCTCTTTGGTCTCTTAGTAGCTGTAAATGTAGAATCAGAAACAATGTCTTTTGATTGGTTGTATCCACATGTAAGTGAAGGATTGAGAAAAGCATCTTCTGATTGGTCTTGTGAGCAAATAAAGGGCTGAAAATAGCATCTTTCTGATTGACAATGCTCAGAAGTTGACTACTTGATGTCATTTTGGGGCCTATGTTCTATGAATGTCCTCTTTTTAGGAAACATCTGAACTTGTTAGCCATGGGACACATTTCCCTCCAGTTGGTTGTTTAGTTTGGACACATTTCCCCCAGTTGGTTGTTCAGTTCTCCCCAGTCCTTAGCAGCCTTCTTGGAGCCATTACAGGTACCCCTGTAAGTGCCCAATTAAGAATTTGGTCATGATGAGGTCAGTTAGACCTCAAGCCAACTTGTGGTTCTGTCCCTGCACTAGAATACTGAATGTCTAGACTTACCCACAGGAACTAGCTTTTCTTGCTCTGTGTGTGTGTGTGTGTGTGTGTGTGTGTGTGTGTGTGTGTGTATGTATATTCTCCCACCTCCCACCCAGATTAGAGTCTTAACCCTTCTCTGAATCCAATGTTCTCAGAAAGTTTGGACAAACACGTGACCTACTTCTAGTATTGAATGGAACAGTGATTGTATTAGGTCCAGTTAAAATGATTTTTTTCCACATTTACTCATTAGGATATTGATGATAATAACAAATCAAAACATACCACAAAAGGAAACAAGCGATCAGATAGGGAATTGAATTTAGAAAACATGTTTCTGGTCTTGTACAGCTATACAAGGTGTTTAAGGCTATACAAAGGTACAGAATTTGGATAGAATCAGTGTAACCCTTTATGTGATGTGTCACTGGAAATGGTTACTAGCTGTTTCTGACTTGGCTAACTTTTTCCATGTGGTGTTTTTTCCTCCCCTGCTTTATTTCCTTGTATTATTATTGAGATGAACTGCCTGTTGTGGAAATTATAAGGTCCTTCAAGTTCAGAGAGGAACTCTGACTCATGTGTTGCATTGTCTTTACCCTTGGCTCCACCCTCAAGCTTAGCACACTGCTTTTCTAAATTCTTCAATACAAGTTTATAAAAATAAAAGAGAACTTGGAAAAGAAAAGTTTGATTTTTTGTCTGTGTCATTGATAATTATATCTTATTTAAAATAATTATTCTCTTTCTCTTTCATTTGATAGTTACTGACAAACTATTTGGTGAGGCACATGTTAACTAGCTTTCATCAAATATTTCACAAATTTTATCTCTGTGTGGAATATTCTTTTTTTCTCTGACATTTTATTAATGGGCTATGTTATTAAAAAAGTTCTCTTCAGCTCTTTTCTCTTTCATATAAGCCTGAACTTAGAGATGTCACTGGCTATATTATTTGCAAAGCATCTATTTTGTTTTTGTTTTGGGTTCTTTCTCTCATCCTAGCCTACATATTTCTCTACCACTGGATATTTGTACTTTACCCCCTACTTCTCTATTTTATAAAACCTTGAGCTGAAAAAAAAAGCCTGACAATAAGCACATCAGAGGAGACAGTAGCTATAAAATAGAACCATTGAAAGGAGCTTTGCTGAGCATCCAGTCCAAGCATTTTTAATCTTTTTTTGTGCCTTTTGACTGACAGACAAATTCTATTTTACTGAGACTGTTTTTAAGTGCATAAAATAAAGCATAACGAAACCAATTGTATTGCTTTCAAAATACTTTTTAAATATTTCCAAATTGGTGGCATCAATAGTATGTACTGTTTTTATGCGAAATAGCAAAACATAGTGGTTGGTTTAATAACTAGTATATTTTTCAAAGTAGTAAACATAGTACTTTGAGGTATTTATAACAACTATAATCTTATACAAAATAACCAATTTCTGCTGTAAAGGATGATTGTTACTAGTACTGTGGTGATATGGCATACAATTTGAAGAAAATGTTACATTCAGTAAAAGATCAGGGAAAAATAAAGGCATTTTCTTCTCGTTTTCCAAATTCACTGATCTCCAGAATTTTATTCATTGACTCTTTGGGTGTTTATGACCTCCAGGTTAAAAACAGCTGAGCTGTTGTGCAGTTGAGAGGACGAAGGACGATCCCTGTGAAAAAAGTGAAGAGAAATTCTATTCCTGGAAAGAGAAGAACTACATTTAAATTCAAGTATAGCTCAGTAATGAGTATGGAGTCTGAACTTCCACCCCAACCCCCCAAATTCTTTTAAGTATATGTTAAAACTTAATTATGTACCAAGTACTGGACTAGCTATTGGGGATTAACTGGGTAACTGTTTTAGGAGATCTATAACCTAGTGAGTAATTAAACATTAAGTAAATATGTAGAAGTTTTTTAACTTGCTTAGGAACAAGTTAAATAAGAGTTTCTGTGGATATATATAATGGAGAAAATTTAAGTTAGTGGATCAGGGAAGGCTTTTGTCAGGAAGTGATGCCTATGCTGGACACTAAAAATGTATAAAAATTAGTTAGATGAAAAAGTAAGGCAGAGGTGTTCTAAATGTTTGAAGATCCAGAAGAAAAAGAACACAAGGATGCTCAGGGGCACAAGCACCTGTGCGGCGAGTGCAAGATTGTGAGTTTGAACCCTGGTACCAAAAACAAACAAATGAACACATGAGGACATTTTTGGACTAGAGAAAAATTCACTGTGACTGCAGAAAAAGGGATGAATGCGAAGTGGAGAATGTTTAATAAAATCTGGAGTGCTGCATGAATCACATTGTGCCTGACCATGTAAAGCATATGAACAATTTTGGAATTTGTTTTAAAAGGCAATAGGAGGCCATTGTAGTCTTTTTGGTAGAGGAATAATATGATCAGATTTGCTTTTTTAAATAGATCTCTTTAACTTAGCTTGTGGAAAATAGGTAGAAAAAGTAAGAGTACAGTCAAGGAGATCAATTGAGAAACTTGGGATAGTATAATAAAATAGTGACTTGGAAGAGGTGGCGATTTGTTTGAATATTCAACAAATATTTATTAAATATTTTCACAGTCCTGACAGGAAGCTCATGGCATACTCAAACTATGTAAGATGTAGGCTGGTTTTAGGACCCCCCAAGGTACAGGACACCAGGTTAGCAATATTGGCTCCATTACTACCTTTAGGCTTGAAGACTGGGAAGCAGTTCCTTGGGGAAAGGGAAGCTAGGCAAGATAGCTGCGTGTATGGTTTGGAGCAATGTATGGAGAGGGTAGGAAGTGCAGGAAGGGGCCTGGAGGAATCAGTAAGTACTGTCTTTTTCTCCTTTTCATCTTTTGCTGGTGCTTTGTAGCTGTTATCTAGAGACAAGAAGGCAGTGAAGCCTAGTATTTGGGGACAGAACAGAACAGAGAAGGATGGAGTGTGTATCTGAAGAGGTAAACAAAACAACAGTAACAACAAAACATAGTATACGTCTGCATTCATATTGCGTACATTCTAAGAAAGTTATATTTTAAAAAGATTCGTGTATGTTTGCACTATATAATGATTACATTCATCGTGGTACATGTGCATAACGCATCTTTATTCTTTTTACTTCCCATTCCCTCTCTTCTGCCTCCTGCTATCTTAAACTATCTTAAACTCCTGCACACCCCTGGGGGCACACAGTCATTTTCTAGGAAATACACGTTTGGATAACTTTATGGTAGTTTATTTCATGACTTCAACTTTTGTATGTCTCCTTTTCCAAATTGAAATACCCAAGAAAATATCTGTGGTAGAAGTATCATTTTTGTCCTTTTCAACTTGCTTCTTCCTATTGACCTATTACTTTTATTTTTTTTCTATTACTTGAAAACTATTTCTCTTGACCATCTGAAATCTTACTGTAGTGCATTGCTCTGTTTATGAAATCCAGGGGTCAATCAAAGGAACAAATTAAAATATTGGTGCCTATGAGTCTTCCTTATCCATGTTTATATGAAATTGTGGTTAAGGGTGAAATATCACTTTGAAAATGTTATTTTTGGCTCATGACAGAATATTCTGAAGTCAGATATATTGTAGTAAAAATAATGTTTGTTTAATGACTTCATTTAACTTCTAACAATCGTTAATACAAAGAAACATGTTGTTTTTAAAGGAAAATATTGAGAAAATCATAGAAATTTTGGTAAGAAATGTAGGAGTTGATAATTTTATCTATATGACAAATTCATGGCAATGTAATAAACTCGTTTATCATCTATCTAATGTAGCTTGGAATGTTAAAGATTTATAAAACTCATGCTGAGAATATAATCTCTTACCTTTTGTGTCTGCATTCTTATTAATTTCCGTAATGAGAAAAAACTTAATGAACTGTTTATTGGTGTCAGTTGCATGTTTCATATAATTTCAGAAATTAGAAGGAAATTTTATGTTTATTTTCAACATTTTAATGTTACATATAAGAGAAAAAATAATGAATGTGTTGGAGGTAAATTAATCTTGAACATTTATTCTGGTGAGAAATGTTTTATATTTTCCCCTTTTAAATAACTTTATTGAGGTAAAATTTCCATACCATAAATTTGTTTCATTAGCTTTTGAACAAAGTTTAGATATTATAAATATATACTCTTTTTCTTAACCTTTGGCTAAAAGTCTTTTACTTGTCATTTTTCAACTAATTCTCATGTCATTTTTCTCATTCATGCCATGTAGATTGGAGACTTAGATTAGCTTTACTTGAAGGTGTTACTTCTATTGTAAATAATGCCTTCAACAACAGGTATACTTTTTAATTCCTTCACTTCCAAGTGGCCCACTAACTTTTCTTTTTGCTGATTTATACTGAACCCAGTCTCATCATTGGATATAATATTCATTTAAGAATAAATGAACTAATTAAAAATCTGCTGTGTCCATATCTTTAGATGTATTTTCAGTGAAATGTTTATTTTTTATGTTTTAGAATTATTCATACTACTAATTTCTTTTGTTCATTGAAGGGATCAGTTGCTGCTTATATAGGCTGATTAATTTTGCATGTCTATATCTTATAATCTGAGCAACTACCTTGAGGATAACAATATGTAATATGTTAATGATTGCTAATTTCTTATCCTGTTTTGAAACCCTATTATTATTTTTATTTTTGTTTCTCTTAAAAAAATAATTATCCATCAGCAAGTCATGGTGGTACAGTCTATCAATAATTTCAGCAGGATTATAAATTTCAGAATTTGCCTTAAAAAATAAACAAAATAAAAAAATAAAAAGCTTGATCACAAACTTGACTGGTAAAATACCTTTGTCTTAGTTACTTTTTACTCATTGCTGAGACAAAATACCTGAAGCCCAAGTTGGGAAAGGAAAGGTTTATTTCTTACAGTTTTTGGAGGTTTCAGTCCACACTCAGTTGGCTCCAAGGCAGGCAGGTATGGCTGGGCCGCAGTTCATGGCGGCTGTAAACAGCAAGCGGGAACCAGCAAAGAGCAAGACACACCTTCTTCCTGCCATTACAACACATCCTGGCTCCACCCCTATGTGGGTGGAGCACTGACACCATCAATCCAAGCACTAGACAATAAACCAATCACAAATACACAGTGCAAACTCATGAGGCCTGGGGGACACAGACATAAACAATGACACTTTGTTTTGTTCTGTTATTTACTAACAAAAATGGCAACTGAATCCATACAGTTGACATGTAATTTAATTTTACTTAGTTTAGTGATAAAGAGTTTGCAAACAGAATATGCCAATTACTCCTATAAAGTCACCATAAATTAAAAGTGAATGAAAGGTTTGAACAAGCACCTTCTAAAAACAAATATGTAAATAGTCAAGAAAGCATGAAAGTGTACAACTTTGTTATAAATAATGAAAATGTTTCAAAATTATGTTGAATTATATATATCATATACTCTATATTGGCTAAAATTAAAATGAATAAAGTCAAGTGTTGGTGATATAAAAGGTAACGAGCTCTCATACATTGTTGCTGAGGTGCAAATGAATACAGACACTCAAAAATGGTATTCTTTATTGAAGTTGAAGGTATGTATATATACTGACCTAGTAATTCTTCTAGTGTATAGCTAATGAACACATAGATGTATGGAAAAATGTTTATAGCAACTTTAAAACATCCCCAAGGTAGAAATAACCCAAATGTTCCATCAGTAGTATAATGGATAAATGATATGCTCATATCATGAGATATTATACAATTTAAGTTAACTGATACAACTTCCAGGTAGTAATATGAATAGATGTTGCAGATATATTCAGTGAAGGCATTTAGGCACAAAACATACATACTGTTATCATTCCAGTAGCTTTCACCCAGATCTAATCTATGGCGCTTGAGCAGTAAGAAGGGATTATGGTGATTATGGAAAGGGTATGAGGAGTATTTCTAGGGTGTTGGTAAGTTCTACAACTTACCTAGATGATGGTTAGTGGATTGTGTTTATGACAAATTCATTGAGCTGTACACATACAATTTGTGTGTTATTTCTAGTATAACTGTGATATTTGAGATAAAAAAATCTCATCTTCTATAGTCTTCTGATTCATTGAGAGTTATTCTCTCTTTGAGAGAACCCAAAATGTCCATGACCTAATCACTAGAACCTGTGAATTGGTTTATGTAATTTGGCAAAATAACTGCCAATGTCATCAAAATAAGAATTTTGAAGTAGGGACATTATTCTGATTATCTTGGTGGGTCCAGTATGATCACAAAGGTTTTCATAAGAGGGAATCAGAAGGTGATGCAATATGAGAAAAACTTGGCTGGCCCTTGGTGGTGTTGAAGACAGTAGGGAGGTGTGATTCTAAGAATCCAGGCAGTTGCTAGAAGGTAGAAAAGGCAAGGAAATGGATTTTCTCTTAGGGTCTCCAAAAGGAACAGAGTCCTGCCAATATATTATTTTTAGTTCCATTACACCCTATTATAACTTTCAGAACTAAAAGATAAATCTGTTGTTTTAAACCTAGTTTGTTACCACAGGAATAGAAAACTGAAACAGTGAGTTACACATAGTAGTCATTGGAATATATTGCACATAATAGGTACTCTGCAAAAAGTGTATTGAATGAATGGTTGAACTTCCAAAGTGGGCCAGATGCTTAATTCGGATGAAGGAATTTTCTAAGTGTATTTCCATTAGACTTCAAGACTAGTATCATAAGCAGTGGCCAGGTTTCTTCTAATCTCTCTCCCTCTAATCTTCAAATTTGAAATTTTTCAGGCCAAAGGCCTGGAGGTGAAGTGAACAGAGCATGTACTCTGTATTCAACAGATACAACAAACTGAGGATGAGCACATGGATGAAGACCGTATGATTAGAGCTTTTCCTTAGTCCATTGGAAGCATTCATTTTTCTAGAAGGAGATAAGAATTCTTTACAAAAGTAGAGAGAAAGACCTAGGGATATTAGTCTTTAGATACCCAAAATGGAATTTTCCATGTATCAGGTTTAGGATTCAGTCACACAGTGACAGCATATCATGGTCAAGTAGAGGTTGGTTCTGCAGTTTAACTGCAGAACGATGCTGGGTTTTTATGTGTCGTGGATGCTGAATTGAAACCCAGTGGGCTGCAACAGGCCTATCATGCCAGAGTGAGTGGACTCAGTTTGTGGGATAGAGAATATGGCAAAAAACCCATGGTTCTGGAGCCAATGGAATGCAACTATCATAATCTCAGGAGCATTGTTTCTGCCAAAGGTATATAGACCAAGTATTGATTTGTCTGTTGAGCAGGGCTCCAGAGACCAGTACACGGCACTGCTGCACCATATAAAGAAGGCTAGTGTTGCTTCTCAGCACCAGAAAATTGCACAAACCATCCTCTGCCAAGCTTTGGAGAAGCAGAAAAAGGAGAACCCTGAGAGATCAAGCATTGCTTTAGCCAATAGAGATTGAATACTTCCTGAAAGCATATTCAGAAAGTCAGACTGAGTTAAGTTTAAACTAGATTAAACCATTTTCTTTTGATCTGCTAACCAGTTCATGTGGATTTGGGAGGAATGCCAGATGATACATAAAGAGTAATGTTTCTGTAAATCGCCTGACTTGTATTGTAAACCTTGAGATTTGTCTCTAATTGTCCTTCTGCTCAGTCATTGAGATTTATCTTTGGACAGGGTTCCAGAACAGGAAAGAGAAGATTATTGAACAGTGTACTTTAAATTCATCCCTTTCTTTTCTCTCCTTCCTTTCCTATTTTTGTTTCCTTATCTGTCTTTCTGAGTTTGGGAAGCTGGAAGGTATTTGAACCTAAATCTATAGGCTTCTCCCTCCTATGTGACTCTCCTCCCTCCTTTAGAAGATGCTTTCTAGGTATTGCCTGCATTAAATGTGAAGATTACTGGAAGTTCATCATGTATGAATCCCTGTGATAAGTGCAGTGTTTATAAATAAGAAAAGTCTGTCCTTGACCTGCACACAAGGAAAAAGGAAATAGGCATGTAAATAAATGATTGTGATAAGTACTACCATTGAAGAAAAAGCTGCTGAGACTTAAATAAAATTTCTTATTTTGTTCACCACTATAGTATCTGCAAATTTTAAAAAATAATTTGTAGATACATGAAACCTTCTTAACTTGATGGACAAAAGTCAACATATACATGAATTATGGATTCTTACAGTAATTGTACAGCTACCAGAAATGGACAATATTATTATTGTAAGACTTTTATACTGCTTTTTTTCTAGGCTCCTTCTCTCATATTAATGAAGACATTTCTGATCTCCAGTTATTGCTTTATCTTTTGGCAACATGTCCATCTTGCATTTTCATGCTGCTAATCATTTTTTACTCTGTCTATTCATATTTTGTCATTTGTGTATATCTTTAAGGAGCAGGTATGTGTCTAATTTATTTGTAAAGATCTGGAAAAATTCTATGTGTATAGGACATGTTTCATATGAAATATTTATTAATCTCAAGTTATGCAAAGGTATATGTTAAAAATGTTCATTTCATTGCTATGTATAGTAGTGAAAATTTGGGAACTTCAGTTGCTTGTCAATTGGGTTCTGATTAATTGCATGCAAAAGAATAGCATATAGGCATTACATTATTATTAACCTAGATCAATATTTGTTGGTCTGGAAAGATATTTATGGAATATGTTTAATGGAGAAAGAGATTAGAGTGCTTATACTATACATTGCCATGTATAAAAATTATGTGTGTTTAACCTTGTGCCCATATTCCTGGATATTAATTGTTATTAAAATGTTTATAGAAAGTGATACTTTGTGTCCTTAATGCTTTACCAAATTTTAGATTTTCCAATGAATATTTTATTGGAAAAATAATGAGAGTTTCAAAAATTTTATTCTTCATGTCTTACTCAGAATTCTTTAGGATCTCATTGCATAGTTGTTCTTAATCAGGACAATTAAAGTGTTTCAGGAATTTTGGCAATCTCTGGAGACATTTATGTTTGTCATGACTGCTGGCAATATTACCAGGACCTAGTGGGTAAAGTTCATGGATGCTGCTGGACATCTTATAAGGCATAGGACAACAAAGATTCTTTGTTAGGACAACAAAATTCTTCACAACAAAAATTATGTGGCCTTAATGTTGGTAGTGCTGAGGTTGAGGCATCTTGAATTCTTTATCCTGATGAGGCTCATTATCACCACCTGGTGGTGGTAGAAGACCCTGCAGCTTTCGTGTAGCTTTGTGCTGAAGCCAGTTATACTGAACTAAGCCCTCAGAAATAGGATGGAAGGTCATAGAAAGGATACCTGCAGTTAGAGTAGGAGGTGGGGAACAAGCAAAGAAGTTCGCAGTTGACAGGCTCCTTGATGCTCTTACGGAGACTAGCAGTTTCTTCTGAAGCTATCGTTGTAATTTATAAACCTCACATTACAATTTCTATTTTCCATTCTTTCTAGGATTCTGCGGACTCAAATACATGTTGAGCAAGAAAGCTTTTGAGTAACCTTTAACTTGATGGATGAAGAGAATCTCTACTTGTACCCATAAATGCCTCCCCAGTACATAATATGATAAGACTTTGGTTTTGTCAGGAATATTTCCTGACTGGAATACATAGGACCAAAATAAGTTTCCTAGCTTTGGCTCCATTTAACTATGGCCTCCATCTTATCTCCAAAGGAATGCATTTGCAAAGCTGAGGCATCTTTCCTTGATTCTGCCCCTCTAACCTCCAATTTAAAGGATATATAGAGAAAAAACCTATTCTTGTTCTCCTTATCAAGGTTATTTGTGTTTTTTATCCACTGATTTTTTGTTT